CAAATGACACAAAGCTGGGGGCAGAGGTAGACACCCTGGAGAGTAGGGATAGGGACCATAGTGACCTAAACAAGTTGGAGGATTGGGCCAAAAGAAATCTGATGAGGTTCAACAAGGCCAAATACAGAGACCCATGCAGGGGACCAACAAGCTAAGCAGCAGTTCTGCAGAAAAGAACCTGGGGATTACAGTGGCCGAGAAGCTGGATATGAGTCAACAATGTGCCCCTGTTGACAAAAAGGCTAATGACATATTGAGCTGCATTAGTAGGAGCATTGCCAGCAGACCGAGGGAAGTGATTATTCCCCTCTACTTGGCACAGGTGAGGCCACATCTGGAATATTGCATCCTGTTTGTGGGGTCCCACTACAGAAAGGATGTGGACAAACTGGAAGAAGTCCAGTGGAGGGCAATGGAAATTATTAGGGGGCATGACTGATGAGGCGAGGCTAAGGGAACTAGGATTATTTAGTCTGCAGAAGAGAAGAATGAAGGGGGATTTGATAGCTGCCTTCAACTGTCTGAAGGGGGGTTCCAAAGAGGATGGAGCTAGGCTGTTCTCAGTGGTGACAGATGACAGAACAAGGAGCAATGGTTGCGGTGGGGGAGGTGTAGGTTGGATATCAGGAAAAACTATTTCCCTAGGAGGGTGGGGAAGCACTGGGATGGGTTACCTAGGCAAATGGTGGAATCTCCATCCCTAGAGGTTTCCAAGGCCCACCTTGACAAAGCGCTGGCTGGGATGACTGAGTTGGGATTGGTCCTGCTTTGAGCAGGGGGTTGGACTAGATGACCCCCTGAGGTCTCTTCCAACCCTAATCTTCTATGATTTTATGAAAACTTACACTGACTTCACTGAGAGTCCTGCCTGTGTAAAAACTAGAGTATGGCTATGTCTATACTGTGAGCTGAGGGGGGTGATTCCCCTGCATTATCACTCATTAAGCTAGTGTGGATAGAAACAGCAGTGTTACTGAGGTTGCATGGTGGTAGCAGCAGCAGAGGCATGGTGCTAAGCAGATAGCCACCAGTTTCAGCTGGCTTCGTACTCAGCATAGCTCCACTGTTGCTACTCACGATTCTGTGGCTACACGGCTAATTATACTCATGTGAACATGCGGAGAGCTAGCATTAGTACATGTACATAGGCAGCAGACTGACACCTCTAGCTCACAGTGTAGATATCGCTTAGCATTACAACTAAAACACACATAGTACAATATAGTTCCAAAACATTATGTTCTATGGATCAGTATGAGCAGTAATTTCAACACACCTTTGAGGAATGGGTTTTTTAGACTCCTACTCAGATAGAACAGGAATGAGCACAGTGTAAGGATCCAAAATTAAATGAGACAGAACTACTGTCCAGTTAACAGAGAGAATACGCAACATCTATTTCCAGTACTTATATGGCTCCCATTACTATAATGTCTGAGCGCCTCACAATCTTTAATATATTTATCCACACAATATCCCCATAATGTATGCTATAATCGCCTGGGGAAACTGAGGTACAGAGCAGCTAAATTACTTGCCCAAGATCACAAAGAAAGTCTGTAGCAGTGGGGAAGGGGACTGAACCCTAGTTTCCCAGCTTCCAGAATGCTGTCCATCCTTTCTAAATGCAATAATGACTTCAATGGAGCTATGCCAGTTCATAGCAGCTGAGGTTTTGGGCTAATATGATGCAGTCCAAACCAGCAAGGTGTGGGAGTCCATGGTGCTCCCAGTTTTGCATATCCTAATTCCCTGCTCCTGGTCTTCAATTGTTGCTGACCATAAATGACCTTATGTTATATATGCCTTCTTACGCTTATGACAGATCTTTCGAGAAGACTGACAACCGAGACATAACCTGAGCCTTCCTACTGTAATAAACTCAGAGGCCTGTAGTAAAATAAATCAGACTTAGCCAGCCAGACATAAAATCAAATTAAAGCATGAGTTCACTTTGAAGCGACAGAACTAGATTTTAAACAAATAAAGCAGCACATCATTCACTTTTAATGGGACATTTTCCAAAAGCCACCCAACAAGGTAATTTGGTTACTTTGTGCATTTACTACACATCACTGTTCATTATGCAATTAAGCTCCGGACATGTGAAGAACTCAACCCATACACACAAAACGGGCAAACACTTTTTGAATCGTTATTTATGATTCACACCTCGGAGCACCTCTCCTGCAATAAGAAGATTGTGTAGCTAGAAAAAAGCACCTTTTGCCCTGAAGGATCTAAAGCATTTTATATACTCCAGTAAATATGCTCATGAAGACTTTCACTCCCCACTGAAATCTTTGAGGTGATATGCAGCAGCATTTTTCACAGAGCACAGCAATACTATAAATGGTAGTTTAAGGCACAATGGAAGAATAACATGTCATGTTGGAACTGCAAGAGGAATGTAGGTGAATAGAAAATACTGAGTCAAATTTGGAAGCTGGCTAAACCTCAGATAACAGATCTCATTCATGGTGAAAGTGGCATGGGATGTTGAAGTGGTCTGAACCTTGAGTTTGCATTTGATTTTAAGACAATGTTCTTCATCAGCACAGCAGCCCTAACTTGAGCACTGAGTCATAGGGAGAAATACTGATTACTGAATTGCCAATGTTTTTTCCAGAAACACTTATGTTTTCTTTAAAGATCTACCATCCAAGACCTCATGCAGCTTCTCCCTGCCTGGCATATGAGATCTGATGAATAACAGCCCAAGGTGAGGTGGCTGCAGGTTATGTATAAGACGAAAAGTAGAAAGGAGTTAATAATTTAACACACACAGAGGCATTTTTCAATTTGTCACTTAAAGTGCAATTCTCTGAAAAATGGCTCAAAAATGGCAATAGGATGCTTCATATTTATTACCTCTCAATGGTTGATTTATAGAGTAAATCTATTCATATGACAACTTAAAAAGTTAAAAGGGTGTTTATTAGTAGTCGGGAATCTGAGAGGCAAGCGGATTTCTTCCTGGCTCACATATCACCTGCAAGAAAGAGTCTCCATTTGAACCACAGTTAATTTTTGTGTTGATGATGTGTCAGCCAGAATGCAATGTAGCACACCCTCTCAGAGTGGCATTGTTTCTGCAGCTCTAACAGGAGTAAAAAGTAATGAAAACATATTTTGGATGCTAAAGTAAATGGCTATGATCAAATATGTATCAGGAGAAAATCTCATGAGTAAGTAGGTAGCTTTCTAAATGGAGCTAGATTCTGCAGCTCTTAATCAAGATTATTCCCATTTAATCTGTCCACTTGAGCCTAAAAGATGGTCCCTACTCAGTGCTTTGGGATGATTTTTAAAATATTATTCACACACAAAAAGACAGGAGTAAGAATGATATAGGTAGCCTTTATCTTTCTTGTGCAAGTGTTAAGGTTCTGCTGTGAGAAGGTGGCAAACTTTGCATGGAACTCAGAGTAGAGGGTGCAACTATTTCCAAAAAAAGGGATGTTTCCAGCTACCAACTTCTTACACTATGCTCAATGCTCAGTCCACAAAACTCCCTGCATGCCAGGTGTAATTCCATGTGTGCGCGCATATGGGTTGATTTAAGCACATTCAAAGAACCTAGAAATCAAAACATATTCACAAAACTCAGTATGTTCAACACACTGCAAGTATTTAAAAACCAGCATGGTTCTTTGAACCAGCATCACAGCTCCACCAATCTACTACTGTCTCCAGTTCATAGCATTCCAGAGATTAATAGCAAAACATCAAAACGTCAAGAATTCTCACTTTCCCTCCGGACCCAGAAATGCCCTGAACTGCATGCAACAAAAGACCTATAAAAATTCACCTCTTTTTGGAAGTGGTGAGTCTGCCCATAGTGTTTACAGCTTTAGAATAAAGGGACCCATTTATTTCTGTGTTATCACCTTCCAACCACAGTCGCATAAAAGAAAAGATTCTGTTGGTGACAGGAATCAACAAAAGCTTCATTTCTTCCTACAATGGCAGAGCAGTTCCTGGGAGACCAGGGCAATTTGGAACAATAACTGAAGGTGGAAAAATGTCAAATATATTTAAACACAATTTATTTAGATTGGTAGGACCTTATGGGACAGGTATGTTCTGTACTCTGGCTGCATACATTGGCTGAAGAGCAAATTCAACAAGCTAGCCCCAGGGGAGACAGGAAAAAGGATCCACATTAACAGTTTAGTTGCTGCTTGTGTCCTAAAGTCCTTAACCTTAGCTAGGGTCTAGTCCTTCTCTTTATGCCCAATAAGAGTGCTCTGTTTGTGACAGTCCATGAACACTGGTAGAGTACCTCCCTCATGCAGCTCCATCCGAAAAATACAACAGTCTCTCTTCTTCTCGATCCCTTTAGTTGGGGGCTGGAGGATATGTTGGCCCCACCTCACTAGACAGAGGAACTTGGGGTTTTCCTGCCCCTAGTCAATTAAGTCAGAGGGAGATTTTCCCCATTTCTTCCTATTGAAAGGGGATTTGCCCCACGTTCCTCTCTAGCACCATATCAGTCTTTGTGTATAGTTCAACGGTGGTGTGGTAATTTAGCAAGGAGCTATGCAATTGGGATGATGAATGCATGTAAATACACAGATCAGCTAGCTAGTAAACATCAGCTAGCTTGTCAGGCATTTCTTAGTCCTTCTGATCATGCCCGTTATTACCAGAACAATGAAGAAAATACCTGTTGGATTTCATCTTTATTTAGTTTGGGTTTTGGTGACCAAATAAAATAAATCAAATCTCTTGTTTTATTTTGCAGAGTTATCCAGAGATCAGTGACTTGGGGTATAAAAATCAACTAATGAGGTGATATCAGTTCTCTATGTGTGAGTGAGTGCTGCCATCTACCACTAGCTACGGGAAATGCAGGCGAACAAGCAAACCACCATTCAGAGGAAAATAAGGCATCCTAATAACAATATTGGAGCTTACCTAAAGCAGGCTGCATATGCTGGGTACAAAAATTATGCTATACTAAGACACTGTACTGTACAGAGATGATGCTACGGTACCTGCAGCAGCAATTCTTTCTCAACCACTTCTTCTGTCTTACTGATGAGCCGTTTCTGCAGAGTATGTATCTTCTGTATCAATTCATAGGTACTCGGGTCACTGGCCTATTCAAGGAGAACATTATTTTTTAAAATAGAGCTGTACAGCTTGTACCTAGCAGTCTATGCCTCTTGCTTACAATTGAAAAGCAGACTGTATGTCTTTACTGTGTACCAAAGGAGACTGAATGAAATCCGTCTAAGTTCCTCTTTTACCCTAGTAGCAACATGGCTTGGTTGAAAAAGAGCATACATACAAGCAATCCTTCTGTCGGTAAGGCCCTCCTCATGGGAGATCTGCCATGGTAAACCAATGGTTATGACTATCAAGCTGGAGAGTCCCTTTCAAAACTAACATTGTGATGGGACAGCCCATCAGCCTAATCTCAAACCTGCCAGGCTGGGATATCTGCACATGCAGCTTGTCTTGGGGCTGGAGGGGAAGAAGGAGGAAGAAATTAGTCCTTCATTTTTTAGCAGAAGCCATGACTGACTCACATGGAGCAGCACAGGCTCTCAGAACCCATGCTGATGTAGGCACATAAGACTCGGGCAATGAGGAGCTTCTGAAGGAGCTGGATCCTGCCACCTTGTCTTTCTGAGAGTGGCAGAGGAGATCCTGGAGGACCCTCCCCCTATATAAATATTTTGAGTCTGCACAAAGTGTCCCTAGCCTCTGTTTGCTGGAAGACAGGAGAGGGATCACTTGATGATTGCCTGTTCTGTTCATTCCCTCTGGGACCCTTGGCATTGGCCACTACTGGAAGACAGGATCCTGAGCGAGATGGACCTTTGGTCTGACTCTGTACGGCCGTTCTTATGTTCAGTTTTGTAAGAAATAATAGAGGCAGTTCAGGCCCCGAGAACAGTCTAGTTCAGTCCTTATCTCTTCATAGGCTACTGGCAATGAGGGTGCTCATACATGCTAACTATCCTGGCATCTTTTGTCATGGGGATGTTTGTTCATTAGCAATTGAACTGGGACCACTTCAAAATCATTTCATATCGTTTTTAGTGCTCTGGTTCCAAACCAATGACCCAGAATTGAAAGGCTTCATCTCCCATTATCAGTCCCCTGATACCTCCAGTCTCCCACCACCCGATTTTTTGAATGGCCTGATTTCCCATTTTTAACTGGAGCTGCTACAGACTGTGCTTAGATCTCTGCAGCACACTTCAGCATCCTGTACTTTATCTCCCCTCCCTGGGAAAAGGTCAGCATGCTCTGCAGCTTTAAACTCAGCATGGAAAGACCACAAATTAACTATCATATTAGTCGGCACAGCCAAAATCTTCAGCTGCACTTCTTCAGGGGCTAGCATGTTATCACTCATTTAGCAAGACAGCTAAACAACCCTTGGCATCAGATCAGACACCATGTGCATGCACAAGAGATCTCAGCTGGTTCTGAGTTAATGTGAGAAATACCCAATGGTGTCAACTGATGATCATATATTTGGTTTGTGCTTAATAGGTTGAGGTTTTTTGGCTTCATTCGGCACGGTTGGATACTGTGAAAATTTAAATTCACTGCTTACATAACAATTTACATCATGTTCACCACAATGGATTGCATTGGAAACTGACCATTATTTATTTGGCTGCCTGTTCTTTCCTCATTGACTACTTACCTCTTCGACTGCAGATCCACTCACTCCCTGTTCCGTGTGTTTCATTCACTATTTTCATCCTAACCCATCTGATTTTCATCGTGCACAGCTTTCCATACTTAGTGCAGGGACTGTCACACCTTAGCTGGACCTTTCCTCTCTTCTTTGAACAATATCTCCCTCTCCCTCCCTCTCTCTGTTAATCCCCGCTAATGAGTCATTTCCCTTTAAATTTCAGCTCAACCCTCCCCCCCCCCAGCTCTTTAGCAAAGCCTTTTGTGGTTTGGTTATACATTAAGAAATAGCACTGATTGCATTGTGTGAAGAAGTCATTCAGCAGTTAACCACCATTGGGACTATGGAAATTTCACTCTGCCTGCCCCTCTAAATGCCCATTGGCATCACATCAAACAAAATATGATTTGCGCTCTGCTATTGATTTGGAAAGATGGCCATTTCGGTGCTTGTGCAAGTGTTACACTAAAATATTACCTCCAATTTTCTCCATCTGTGAACATTCATGGGGTTCTCTAGCTCCTCCTCTAGTGCTCGGCATCGAGTTCGTTCCTTCAGTAGCTCCTTCTGCATGTGATAAACTTCTTGCCTTAAGGCCAGGACAGGAAAAAGAACCCAACAACTATGAGCTTTCACAAAGAAATGAAACATCAGCATTAGCATTAACTCTTCATTGTTTAACACACAATATCATTAGCAATGGAAGACACTCGTGGTCACCCAATTATCTTTGCCATCCAGTCGCATGGTTGTACCCCACAATATTCTATTGCTTCACCTAATCTCAATGACTCAAGAGAGGGCGTTGCACCCCTTCCCACTAATTCTCAGTTGAATAGATCTCATTGCATGGAATTTCATAAATTCAAGGCTAGAAAGAATTGTTAGATCCTCCAGTCTAATCTCCTGCTTAACTCAGGCCATAGAATTTTACACAGCTACCTCGGCACTGAACCTAATAACTTGATTCTGACCACGGCGTTTCATCCCACAGAGATCACACGTGGTCCACAGTACTCACTAACGGCCACACGTCACACAGTTTTGGGGAATGAGATGTAAGAGCGAGCATCTCAGTCCAGATAAGAAAACAGATAACTATGATCCAGCTAGTGATGACTACACTGCAGGAAACCCACATTTGGTTCTTAGCCATAGTCTCTCACTACAGGTCCTGAAAGGGCTCAGAACAAACTAGCATAGTTACAAACACATCCAGTAAAATAAACACATCCCCGGTATTCCCACAACACAGGACTCTGTATGTTTACAGGGTAGCTGTCAGCAAGCCAGGTGGTTGGTCATCCCAGTTCCAAATTGCCTGTGGGTAGATATCAAGTCATTTGCTACTAGTTTCAAACAGCCTTCTAGGCCATAGCTTGGGAGCTGGAGTGAAGGGTAAATGTTTGGTGGGCTGTCACAGTAGACATGTTTTTGTCGCCTATCCTCTGCTATGCACTAGTAAAGACTCCTTGCCTTAAATATCTTCAGATAATTTCTCCTCGGAACAAAGGCACAATTGTAGCCTTTAAACTGTGACTTTCACATCACAAAACAGTTTAATACACATCAGGCCAGATTTACTGGCGCTGGCATGGGGAGGTGTAAAAGACAGTTACTTACTCATATTGGAAAGGACATGTGCAATCACTCCAAGAATAATTTGCCCTTCCCCATTCTGATCTCGCCCCCAAGCTCCAGAACTCATTCACCACCAAGCCCTGGGAACCTTGGTTAATCAAGGCTGTTGTGGGCACACACACTGAATCGGTGCGTTCTCCAGCAGTCTGCCTCTACCATGTCCTTGGTCAGAACCATGGGTGTTGTGGGCCCTACAATTCCCCACCACCCAGCAAAAGGGAGGCAACGGCTGCTTTGCCACCTCATGCCCCCAAAAGATTTCTACCTCTAAAGCTGACAAAATCCTCCGCTGACTTTTGCTGGCTATTTGGAAGATCTTGATATTGTGGGGTCTTGAGTGTAGTTTGGATGGAGTGGAGGGAAAGGGGAAAAAGGCAAGTCCTTTTGGCTAGTCAAGAGAGCTTATGATGGAACCAGGTTTAATCTACTTAGTTGTACAAGTGAAGAAAGGACTCCTCCATCTGGCAGTTTTAGTAATGGTTTGGGAGTTCATTAATGTGTAGGCTTGCTGCTGTAGTTAGCAAGAATTGATCTAGCCATGATGGCAGGCATCACACTATACTTCAATACATTCCTTGCATTTCAATACAGGAATAGGCTTCCAGTCCAATGCATCTGAACAGGAGGCTCAAACCCTACACTGAAGGTGAGCCACAGTTATTAAAATTCTTTGCCTATTTCTCAAAAATGGGTGTAACAACTCTGCACTCACTGAGCAAGCATCTCATCTGGGGTAAATTAGGGTAGCCCCACAGAAATCAATGGAACTAGGCCTTCTTTTCTCAGCAGAGAATCTCTCCCAAAACAGATGTAGCAAAATTAGTGTGAATGAGGGTGGTACCACACCCTCCATCTCCATGCTCTGGGACACAGACCAGGGCTACACTAGGGGAGAAAGGTGACTTAAGATATGCAACTCCAGCTGCATGAATAGCACAGCTGCACTCAATGTACCTTAGGTCGAATTTCTGTGGCATCCCCATTGCAGAAGGTTGACAGAACAAATTCTCCCATCAACTTCCCTGACTCCTCTTGACCCAATGGAATCCCGGAATTGATGGAGGGGATGCAATCAATGGTCGATTTATTGGGTCCTTACTAGGCCTGCTAAATTGATCCCCGGGAGATCGATCTCTGCAGCATCGATCTCCTGGTAAGTGGAGACAAGGCCATAGATACCTGCTAAAAACACAGTTCTGTTTCTTTAGAACTCCCCCAGTGATTGTATAGCAAATGACAAAGTTTTCCCCACAAGAAAAAATATGCCTCAAATATAATAAAGTTTGAAAAAAAGGAAAACATTAAGTCAAAGCAGGAGAAGATAAATCAGGCTGCAGCTATAAAACTGTGCTTTTAAAGAAACACAACCTTCAATGAAAATTTAACTAAATCTTTCTCCCTGATCAAACTCACATATAAATCTAGCAGGATGGAACGCTGGAAACATATGGGAGTTTGTTATAAATATGTCAAATGTCCCCCTTCCTCTATGGATTGCCTAATAAAAAGCAGTTCCACTAATGTGGGCCCTGTGCACCACTAAGTAGCTCACTGGACTGTGAATATCTTTTTTCCTGTTGCCTGTCAAGCTGGTAATGTCACCAGTAATTCATAAGTCGGAGGTGAATTTTGGATGTGACTTCTTTTGGGTCCAGGCATTTCTATTTATTTTTTTTATTTTTATTTTTGCTTCTTTCTCCCTGTATTTTCTAATTACTGCTTAACTGATTTATGAATTTAAACTAGTTAGTGTCTGAAGTCAGATAAAGCAAGCCCCTTCTTCAGAGTAACTTGTTCACCACTACAAACCTTTATCGTGTGTGAAAACAAGCTCTCTCATGTGTCTCAAATGCAATGTCATGGCTGCAGCCGCTAGTGAAATGTGTTCATTTTGCTTTTCTACCTGAGCTCCTCCACATTAGCCACGCTTTTGCACAGTATTCCCTTCTCCCGCCGAAGTTTTTTGATCTCCAGCTTGAGGAGTCGGATGTCTTCCATTCTCTGCCGGTACTGGGTCTCCCCCTTGTGTAGGATGGACTGCTGGATTTTGATCTTTTCATAAAGCAGTGCTAACTCATCATTACGCCGAACTAGCTGTGACCCCAGGATGTCTCTCTCGCTGATAACCTAGGGATGCAGAACAAAGTAAGCTATACAGCTACAAAGTTGTCAGTTGCAATATATGAGAGCTTGTGTCTTCCTCGGCTGAGAACAGTTCAATCAAAATGTTATTTCGTTATCGGTGAATGAAAGCTTGTTAAGGGCCTGTATCATCCCCAATGCGGGGGTCAGACCTTGGGTGATGTAAACTGAAGTCATTTAGTTGACATCAATACTGCAACAGGTTGATTTCAATAGAGAACCACTATCCGTTTATCCCAGCTGAAGATCTGGTCCTTAAAAGCAGATGGGAGGAAGAAATGGAACAAAGGCCTGTTTCTGTGGGTTGGAACAGCAATCAAGAAGGAAAAGCTCCTTCCTGATTAGACTTTCTTACCTGGTCTAATTCCTTCTTCTGCCTCATCCTCTCGGCATCAGCCTCAGCAATAATTTTCAGGAGTTTTCTCTCTTCTGATTCCTGTTTTTCAATAAAGTGCTTGGTCTCCAGGGCTTGTTGTTTCATCTTAAGCAGCTCAGCCTGACAGAAGCAAAGAATATAGGTAAACTGTGCTTAGTAACAACTTCCCACTGCATAACCCTGGGAATTTAGGATTAGAGTTTAGAAAGAGCCTTGTACTTTCATTTAGGTTTTTGTGTTGTGCACGTGTTGCTGGTTCTCAAGAGCAAATAAGAAATATAAGCGAACACAGAAAGAGCCATAAGGAAACAGTGTAAACAACATGTCAGATGGTTTTGTATCGAATGTTATACTCTGGAGAAATTTGGAAGGATTTCTCTGTATTTATGGTAATACGTTGATCTGTATTTCAGGAACACTTCATATAAAGCAAATAAAGGGAAAATACTGGGGATGGCAGGGGTCATCAACACAGCAGACCTGGATTCAAAGCCAGTTTGAATCCAGCAGACCTGGATTCAAAGCAAGTCAATAAGGGTATGTCTACACTTGCTCCTTATCTGGAGATAGGAATGCAAATGTAGTGTACCGAAATTGCTAATGAATCACGGGATTTAAATATGCCGCGCTTAATTAGCATAATCGCATCCGGGTGCCATTTTGAAATCGCATTATTGTGAAATAAAACGCCCCGTGTAGCAGCGTTATTTTGAGAGAAAATCCTTCTCTCAAAATAACTGTTCCTCCATAAAATGAGGAGTAAAAGTTATTTCGAGAGAAGAGTTTTCTCTCGAAATAATGCTGCTACATGGGGCGTTTTATTTTGCAATGACATAATTTCAAAATGGCGCCCAGATGCAATTATGCTAATTAAGCACGGGATATTTAAATTTTGGTACACTACATTTGCATCCCTATCTCCAGATAGGGAGCAAGTGTAGACGTACCCTAAGAGTTCGAGGATCTCAAGTGCCTAAAACAGGTGAATCCATCTTGCAAAACTTGGTACAATTCAGAAGAGTTATAAGCATTAGCTAAAAAGACGGCCAGGACTGGAATAACAAGGGTTGCTTTAGGTAAGATTTAAGGCTCATGGGCAAAAATGTGTCTCAGCCAGGCATGGAATTACAAAAGGTGCTGAAAGTCAAAATTAAGGTGCTTTAGCAGATTTGGGAAAGAGGCAGAAATGGCTAGAAACGTGGGATCGCCACTCATCAGGCGTGATATTGTAAAACTGTGTGGAGGCAGCTTGCAAACCATCTACCTGTGCTACAAATGGGACTTGACCAACCTCTATATCTCATTGTCACAAGTACTAACATGCAACACATTTATCCAGAGAAAGAGTAAGAAGGTCTTGCTCGATTACTAAAGAGGTGGCTAAAACTGTTAGACAATTAGCCATAGTCAAAATGGTCCTCTCTTAATGAGGTCTGTTTATACAGATTCAAAAGCTTTTAAGGTTGGACACAAATAAAGGAAAGGCTTTAGCTAGGATCTGATTCCAAGGTGCCTCTGGAGAATGAGCATCACACAAAAGAGAGGGAATCAGAATGTGAGGAAGAGTGTGCCTGAAACAGCAATAAGTTAAGATGACAGAAACTACAATTCTGTCATCATAATAAAATATCTTGTCCCACTCTTGTTTTCTTTAATAAAACTTTTATTTTCCCATAATCTGCGACATTCATATCTCTCAAACTCGGTGTTGGATACTGATCGGAATCCATCAGCAAAACCCAATTGTCAGCCACTGTACATTAAAATGCAATCAACAGCGTGTAAAAGCTGCCTACAAATGTAAAATTACTCATGCATTTGGAAATGCTATCTGTTATTTTTAATATATCAAATTCAGTATTCTCCTTACGTCACAGAAAATACAAGTTGTGAACCAGGTGCAGCATTAGATGCTGGCAGCAAACACTGACATAAACAACTCGCAACTGGAATGCATTAAGTGCATATAAAGCCAGGCTAGCAGGTACCACTGCTAGTCACTCCATGGTCCTAGCAGTTTCAACAGCTACGGAATTGGGGTCTTATATACAGAAGGTAAGTGAAACAAGACTAGGTTATGCACTGAGTTACATTATATGCAGAGAAAGGGTAGATCCTCAACTGGTGTAAATCAGTGTGGCTCCTCTGACACAAGATGAGGATACGGCCCAAGGTGCTATTAGAAACAGGAGAACCCATTTTTAAAAAAAAAGAGAGAGAAAGAGAGAGAGAGAGAGAGAGGGTATGTCTACACTACCCTCCTAATTCGAACTAGGGGGGTAATGTAGGCATACCGCACTTGCAAATGAAGCCCGGGATTTGAATTTCCCAGGCTTCATTTGCATAAGCCGGGCGCCGCCATTTTTAAATCCCGGCTAGTTCGAACCCCGTGCTGCATGTAGCCTCATTCCACGAGGAGTACAGCTAGTTTGGATTAGAAGCCTAATCCGAACTAGCTACTCCGTGCCGCGTGTAGCCGCGCGGCACGGGGTTCGAACTAGCCGGGATTTAAAAATGGCGGCGCCTGGCTTATGCAAATGAAGCCCAGGAAATTCAAATCCCGGGCTTCATTTGCAAGTGGGGTATGTCTACACTACCCCGCTAGTTCGAACTAGCGGGGTAGTGTAGACATACCCAGAGAGAATGCCTTTGAATGTTTGCCAACATCTAAAACCCAAGTCAAGGCAGAGTGTTATTTAAATTCTGAATTGTTCAGGAAAGAGGGCCTTTTAACCTTTAATCTCCAGCCAGGGCTGTAACCAGGAATGCTGCAACATCACAAGAAAGCTGTTCCCAGGGGCATTCTGCCTAGGGTTGGAACCACGAATGCCAGAAATCTGAGTCATGGCATTTGTGTGCAATCTCCAACTTAACTTTTCAGGGTCAAGATTCTGATAGGTATCGATATACATAAGAACATAAGAATGGCCGTACTGGGTCAGACCAAAGGTCCATCTAGCCCAGTAGCCTGTCTGCCAACAGTGACCAGCACCAGGTGCCCCAGAGGGGGTGGACTGAAGACAATGATCAAGCGATTTGTCTCGTGCCATCCATCTCCAGCCTCTGACAAACACAGGCCAGGGATACCATTTCTATCCCCTGGCTAATAGCCTTTTATGGACCTAACCTCCATGAAATTATCTAGCTTCTCTTTAAACTCTGTTACAGTCCTAGCCTTCACAGCCTCCTCTGGCAAGGAGTTCCACAGGTTGACTATGCGCTGTGTGAAGAAGAACTTTCTTTTATTAGTTTTAAACCTGCTACCCATTAATTTCATTTGGTGTCCTCTAGTTCTTCTATTATGGGAACTAATAAATAACTTTTCTTTATTCACCCTCTCCACACCACTCATGATTTTATATTCCTCTATCATATCCCCCCTCAGTCTCCTCTTTTCTAAACTGAAAAGTCCCAGTCGCTTTAGCCTCTCCTCATATGGGACCTGTTCCAAACCCCTAATCATTTTAGTTGCCCTTTTCTGAGCCCTTTCCAAGGCCAAAATATCTTTTTTGAAGTGAGGAGACCACATCTGTACACAGTATTCAGTATGTGGGTGTTCCATAGTTTTATACAATGACAGTAAGATATTCTGTGTTTTTCAGCATGTGGACGTTCAAGCAAATAATTTCGAACCACAGGCTGGATTCAAAGCCTATTGAAATCAATGGAAAAACTCTTATGTTCTCATGTTGTTGTCTCCAGTTGCCTTTGGATCAGGCCTCAAGTGATGTTTGCTCATCATTAGTGCATATAAGTAACAACTCTTTAAGCTCCTACTAGGGATATAAAGGGTTAATTGGTTACCTGGTAAACGCTGCTTTAACAGTATGCTTAATGAGGTAACTAGTGGTACCCAACTCAGCTGGAGCAGCCCCCCCCCCCACACACACACAATGGCGGGGGGAGGGGGGGGTTGCCAGCCTAGCCAGGCCCATCAGCTCCAGCAGATCCCAACCCGTGGTGCAACTCAGTGGGCTAGTTAAGCAGTTAACCAGTTAACATTTTAAACAGGATTTTACATCCCTAGCTCCTGGATCAAGCACACACCTGATATTTGCAGAAAAGCACCTGTTTGACCCTTACTCCTCCGTGTTACACACTTTCACTTAAGCTGATTTTTCAGCCAAAGCCTGCTTTCTTCACATCAGTGCAAACAGGACAAATTGAAGCCTTCATGGCACAAGAATAATTGGACTCTTTTGTGCCTATGACAGTTATTCCTCTCTCTGTTCTCTACTTTTCCATTCAGCAGACACATGCAGCTGGAAAAAACACAATGCCCAAAAGCCGGTCACTAATATGAGGCTAGTCCATGGACATACTTGTTAGTGAATAACTGAGCAAGTAAAGCAGTGTAGCAATCAAACTGCCATCAAACTGCTGGTGGATGATTCAGAGGTGACAAGACAGGACTGGTGATGAGTTACGGCAGAATCCTACCCTGGAATATTAGGTGCTGTTTGGCTTTTCTGTAACTGATATAACAAGTCTGAGACAGAACAGATAGAGGAATTGCCTTTTTATACAGTTCTATTGACATCCTGTCATAACTGTAATGTGCTGACAGTGGCTGAAAACCTAAGGAGGCATTGGACCATAGCGAGAAATTGACAAAAAGAAAGCACTATGGAAAATGGCAGGGGATTTCTTTTATGGGACTAAGCGAAGAGAAAATGACCTGCTATGGATACTTTCTCTAAGTCTTAGGAAAGAGGAGCAAATTGGGCTGAACTGTCAACACACATGTAATACTATGTCCAAAGAGGGGTTACAGCCAATGTTGAGAAAAAGAACCAGAAATGGCTGGCCTGCTTTCCTTGATTTAACACAGATTTTGCTGCTTTATTGAACACACAATAATGAAGTCTCTTTCTAAGCAGAGGAAGCTATTGTAAGGTACTATCTGATTCCCCAAAGGCTTATGCTTGCTAGTCACACAGCAATGCCGAACTGAGAACTGTGGCAGTACTGTGTTAGCACTTAAAGCTATAGATACAAAAGTTAAAAGGAAACAAAACTGGTTATCATAGTCAGATTCCAAACCCAGAAGGGGCCATGGTGATTATTTAATCTGACTTCTTGCATAACACAGGTCAGAGAACGTCTCCAAAATAATTCATAAATCTGTTGTAATAATTCTATGATAATAATTCCTATTGTAATGGCCAAATACAGAGAATGATGCAATCAGTACACAAAGACCACTCTGTGTTTCTGAGCACAGTTTGGGATTCTGAAAGGAAGGGAGAATTTAAGCTTTCAATGGGTAATCTAGGAATCTAATAACTATAATTTTAGGTGCAGAGAAACAAAAGGCTCTAGTCTTTCACCACATACATGGAATACTCATACACTTAAAGGACACTGAGAGTTATACATTAATTCCAGAACAGTTCTTAAAGTGTTCAGCAAAGAACCATGGGTCAGGCAATATGAAAGGACCTTTGAAACCATGTGCTGTCCTTCCTAGTTAGTCCTGCCAAACACCCTACAACTAAGCAGCCTTACTTTCAGAGACTCCTTTTCCTTTTCTATTCGCTGATGTTCCAGATGTACTTTCACAAGAGCTGCCTCTTTGGCTGTGATCTCTTCTTTTAGCTGATCAACCTGATGAGTCATGATCTTCAGTTTTTTCTTCATTTCAGTGATCTCATCCTAATGGGACAAAACAAATGTTACCAAACACATGGAAGGGGGATCTAAGTAATAATTCTGCATCAACACACAAGGGTGACTAAGTAACCTCTGGAGGGCTCTTGCAGCCCCCCGTTTCCATGATTCTAAAAAGGGATAATAGAGAAATTAAGTATTTTGTGCCCAGAAGTTCAAGAAATATTGGCATTTGAAATTAAACCCTGGCACCTGAAAAGAGAAGACTCCCAACCAAATCCTGATTCTACCTAGTCTGTGCATACATGACACCACTTTTAACATTTACTAAGAAAAGCATTTCCATTAAATGGTCATTTGGCTTTTATGCTGGCATGATATTGCAGCAATCAGACGGTTCAAAGGCCATTGACAAAACCAGTAAGCCTGTAAGCCACCTTAGTTAGAGTGTTGGAGTATAATACTGCCTAGCAGTGGATATAAGTAAATAATGCAACTGTGATCCTGTCCATCTGTTTACATGACTTTGTTGGCTTGATCTATAACAAACATTTGTACAACTATGCTTTGTTTGTGCAAATGTGGGGGGGGAGCTGTTATTTCTCCAAATGAAAGTACTCCTGTGCCAAGGCATGTGTCTGTTTGCAAACATGCACGATCCTTCATAAATAGCCATACACGCCCCAAAAGTGGCCAAGCCACCATCTCTTCTAGGAAGGCTTTGAGATTTTGGGACTAAGGGTGTGAGGAGATGGAAAGATCCATTCACTGAGGACATTTTTACATGTTCCAGTAACAGAACCCATAGCAAGGTGTTTGAAATCATGTTGAATAGTGTGGCAGAGCAATTGGTTACTGTGGACAAGCATCCTATGCAATCACGTCTACACTCATCCCAGGTACGTATACGATCCTACTCCCAGAGAGCCACCTGCGAGGACCACATTGGGAGGCTGCTTTTGTTTGTGACTGACAGTGACTGCGGGGAATGGTGACAGAAATCGGAGGACAGTGAATTCAATAAGTGCAAATTCACTTGGTAGATAAGTGAAATATTTTTGCATAGGACACTTAAGACAGCAGTTCTCCAACTCCAAGCCTCTGGTCAGAGTATTGGTGCTGACAAAGTTAATCAAATGAGATTGAAGATGGGTCACAGCTCTTCATATGCATTAGATTTGTGAGAGCAGTGACCGGTTGTTGACAGTGTAACCTGAACACAACACTGGGATTCAACAACATGTATTTGGCAGATGCATGAAATAGGGTATAGTAGGGAGGTTAGGAATACACTGCAGCTCTATAAACACAGCTGGCCAGTGCTCTGGTACTAAGTCAATTAATGACCCAGACAATCATGTAACCTTTGCCACTAGAACTGCCCATGTGCATATACACACAATTATTCATGTAAATGTTCACTGGAGAAAAAAATGCAAAAGTTGGCATGACAGCTGCCTACAAATCTCTCCCATGCCCTGGAAGCAGACCAGATATTTAAAAATCTGGAGCTCAGGTACATACCCAAGCACACTGTTATCTTTGGGTGAGGAAGAGGACATAAAGGATCTTGTGATTTTTGCAAGGACAGGATGAACTTCATTTAAATAAACAAATACATGTGTTCCTGGTGTCAAAAAGCACCCCAGAGCTCAAAGTGTGCTTTCAAATATTCATGCCAAAACTCAGCCAAGGGTTTCACTGAGCTAAAGATTAGGATGTCCTAGAGAGCTGTAGCAACAGGGTCTGGGCAGATTAATGGTGAGCAATCCAAAAACAGCTACAGCTAGCTTTCGTCTATCTAAACAAGCGTTTGCCAATTTATTTTACTTCCCAAGAGGAATTACTATTTTGCATAATTTTTAAGTGAAGTCATTTTTTTCTCCATGGCTGGCTGGCTTGTTACTGAACTGTGAATTACTATTTTTATTGCTACCTACAGTATAGTGTGATTACAACCAAAAGGATATTTTACCCTTAGCAGTCTTCTGACACAGAGAGCTGTCAGCTAACACAAATTATAAATCAAATAATCTGCTAAAGGATAAATTAATGGCCTCTGTAGTCAGTAGTATCCTGCACAGAACTTTGTGTGGGCCGTATATATGCATATACCATGGCAGGGCCTCCAGTTGCGATTTCCTTAGTTAGCTAAAGAGTTTAATTCAGAGGATATCTGCCAATTCTGTAGGAGGGTGCAAGAAGTTTGTATTCCAAGCTGATACTGTATCTTTAACAACGATAAAAGGAAAGTAATTGAGTGTTCACTACATGTTACATACCCTACCTCGTTTTGATGCCTCTCTTAGTATGAACATGTACTGGGATGGAGGACCAATGCATTGTGAAGCATGTGACTTTCAGACACCGACATTCCAAGGAATGCTGCTGCACAGCCAGCAATCACAAGCTCACCAAAGCGATACCCTTTGGCTGTGCCACGATGATGATGACTATGGCAATGACGACATGCTTCACCCTTATTTCCACTGATGCCTCACGCAAACAAACATTCACAGGAACATGAGCTGCTCATCATAAAGTCACAGGACTGGAAGGGACCTCCAGGGGTCAAGTCCAATGCCCTGCTCTCCTGGCAGGACCAAGCACCTCAGTTACTATTTGTAATGGTGTTACGGCAGTTACCTGGTCACAGAGGGGAAGTACAGGAGAGCGGCTCCCCTCCCCTTTCTTTCCTGACCAGCTCGGCTCAGGTAGTGACTGCAGATGCAGTGGAGAGAGCAAAAGCGATCTGGACCACCCTGGCTGTGAGCAAAGGGTCGGAGAGAGTTTAGGAGTCACAGGAATCCTGGATTCACCTCTGCTCATTGATGGCCAAAGTTGTTGGTAGGATGCACAGAGGAAGCAAATAAGGTG